GCCGGCCTCCGGCCGCACGTGGAGTCGCGCGCCTGCTGCCCAGGGCGGTCTCGGGGCCGGGCCCGCTTCCGGGTGAAACGAGGCTTCGCGCGGGTCTGGAGGAATTCCAGGAAGGAAAGGTGAGGCGCGGAGCTGGACTGGGGCGTGGGAAGGGTGACACGGTGCAGACGGCGTGGGAACCAGGGCCTGGGGCTCAGCGTGGAGTGGAGGTTGGCTAGGCCTCGAGGGGCTGTTGGGCTGCCGAGTCGAGGTTCTGGTCGGGGCGAAGCCCTTTACACTGCGATTCGCTTCGTCTGCACCCTGCCTTTGTCTTACAACACGCGCCACCTCACCTGTCTCCCGTTTTTATTTTCCCCAGGACCATGGGGCGCAAGTTGGACCCTACGAAGAAGGAGAAACGGGGGCCAGGCCGAAAGGCCCGGAAACAGAAGGGTGCTGAGACCGAACTCGCCAAATTCTTGCCTGCAGGTAAGGGTCAGGTGCGCCCGCTCCTACCGAGTCTCCAGCTTTTGCGCCATTCTTTCATCTGTAGCATAACCTTTACGTTTTTCAGCCTGTGTGTTCCTTTCTGTTCACGTGGAATTTTCTTTATATGTGTTATTAGGAAGTAAGTATGAACGAAGTATGCGTGTATGAACGAAACACCTTCATGAGCATTTAGGACGTAGGGAAGATGCGACAAGTAGTCATGCAACGAGAGGTGTGGTTTAACATTGAGAGGGTTCAGAGGAAGAGGGGAGCCTACGGAGTTAGAGTTTCAGAAAGTTTCGTAAAGATGCGTTTTGAAATGTGAGTGACATTTTAGCAAGTGGAAGTTGGGACAGGCCAGTCACTGTGAACTCCATCGTGGAGGGGATGGAGATGGGGAAGCACAGGTCTGGTTCCCAGGTGGTGAGCTGTCTCCTGTGTGGAAGACTGGGTGGGAGAGAAGGACGGGCAGGTAGTTTGTGTTGAGCTTTGTGCGAAAGATGCAGTTTATTGAGGTATTGGTAAGTGCTGAACATTACACTGAACTCTTTGGACACATTGTTACCATGTCATTCTCTTTAGTGTCCTGTGAGAGAGGCAGTGCTAAGAAGTTGGATGCTGAGAGGTTAGCTTGCCTACAATTATTAAACAATAGGGCTGACATTTAAACCTTTTATTTCTTGGAGAAGATATGAAAAGCAGCAGTTGTAAAGGTAAACTTTGGTGTTGGTAACTGAGACTAAAGGAAAAGGCAGAAGAAAGATAAATTTTGAATCTGTGTTGTTATCAGAATGGCAGCTATGCTATTTATTGAAATCAGAAGTCTGGAGGGAGGCCCAGTGTGGACTTGGTTGATGAACAACCAGATGGAGATCATTTCCTTTATTTCTTATCTCTTATTCAGCTCCTGGTAGAGCACAGTGGAGTGAGTTACAATCTACTGCCTTTAAAAACTAGTGTCCTAATTCTCTCCCCTTTTATTTCCTCTCCCATTGCTCTTTTTCTTTTCCCCTGTAACTTATTGCTCTGCCTGGTTTTTTAAACAGCTGGTGAGGACAATTCCAAGAGGCTGTCCAGTCGTGCTCGAAAGAGGTGAGTGTGAGTGTTCAGACTACGTTACACAGATTAAATTGGTCCTGCTCGTCTGTAACCACATGATCCCATGTGACCGTGCTGATGGAAAGGGCTGTTAGGGGGCTGTCACATTTCCCTGCAATGGGAGGTGGCAAGTGTGTTCCTTCTCCTCATTCCTTCTCATTCTTATGTCTTTTCAGGGCAGCCAAGAGGAAATTAGGCTCTGCTGATGCCCCTGAGATGAGTAAGTCTCCTGGGGCCAAACCGCTGCCTGGAAAGCTACCAAAAGGTCAGTGAAAATAGGGGCTGGGTGCTCTTTGAGGAGTCCTCTGGATCCTAGGTGGGGAAGGGCTTGCTGAGCATTTCTGGAGTGAAAGGAACAGCCACAAGGACATTCTTGGGAGTGGATAGTGTGGGACCCATCAGTGTGTGGCTGCCATGAGTCCAGGATTCTTCAAACCCTTTGGGATCTTTGCAGGAGCTGTCCAGACACCCGGTAAGAAGAGAGCCCTGTCCTTATTTACCACTACTCAAAGCAAGAAGCGCCTGGCACCAGGCCATAGCAGTGATGAGGAGGGAGACTCTGGAGAGGACAGTGTGTTGAACCAGGGGGACCTCTGGGGCTCTGAAGACAGTGATGCTGACATGGTAGATGACTATGGAGCTGACTCCAACTCCGAGGATGAAGATGAGGAGGATGGTGAGGAGGTGAGCTTTATTTCTTGGGGTGTTCAGGAAGCGATCCTTGCCTTTTTAGAGTCTTTCCAGATCCTTGAGATTATTCCTCAATGACCAGGATAAACCTGAGTAGAAAAAAAGGATTTTCACTTTCCATCAGTGTTTTCATACCGCCTTATGTCCTCTCAGCACACGTGCAAGTTGACAAGAGCTATAGGACAGTGCACTGTGAGATGAGAGTGCTCGTGGCTGGTGCAGACATGGCAAGGCGGACGTGTGTACGGACCTGCTAATGGGACTAGAAATGCACACAGACTTCTTAATGGCATTTGGTATCTAAGAACCTTAAAAAGGCTTTTCTGTTTGACTTAGTAATTCCAGTTAGGAAGATGATCCAGAATATATAAATAAAGATACATTTGCTAAGACGTAAGAAGTTATTTATGTATCACAAAATTAGCATACGAATGTATTATTAGGAAAAGTCAGGCAATATAGAGTTGCATTGAATAAAAAGAAAGTTCCCAATTGCACCTGTCTCCCATAACCCCCCTTCTCTCCATGGAGTTATTATTATGAGATTTACAGGCACTGTGTGGACCATGTTGCCAGCGACTCTGCAAACTTCCAAAATGCCCAGTATGCTTACCTGAATTCTGGTTCATTCATATGCTACATTAACATTTGGCCATTATGTCTATGAAAACGCTTGTAACTGTGAATACAGCTAGATTACACATATAACTGTAAATGAGAAAAGGCAAAAAACAAACCTGAAAATGCATCACAATTTCAATAATATGAAAAACGGCTTTTGCCTCGCCACGCCTGTGTGCTCTCCGGTGTAGAAAGAACAATGCAATGAACGCTTTCAATCTGTCATGTTATTTCAGCGACGGGAAATGTTTTGCCAATCTTATACCCATTTTTAGAGGGTATATGTTTCTTTCTGGGAGTTAAGAGTTGTATCTGTAGGGAAAAGTAAAACACAGAGGCAGGAAGTGTCATGTGGGCTGTAGAAGGGCAGGCTTTGCGTCACCAGCCCTTTGTCTCTCTTTCCAGTTGCTGCCCATTGAAAGGGCTGCTCGGAAGCAGAAGGCTCAGGAAGCTGCTGCTGGGTGAGTTTTGGAAGCTCTTAAGGAGGAAATAGGCTGGGATGAGGGAAACATGAGTGGGGAGGAGGAGGTGTCTGTTTGGATCTGTGAACCGCTATGTTCACAGGGGCCAGTGGAGCGAGGAGGAGACTGATGAAGAGGAGGAAGAGGAGACGGTGTCCCCTGAGTCAGGCCCCAGAGAGGATGAAGAGGCTGATGGCTTGCAGATCAATGTGGATGAGGAGGAGCCTTTTGTGCTGCCCCCTACTGGGGAGATGGAGCAAGATATCCTTTGGGTGCAGCGGTGCAGGGATCGGGGAGATGCTTGGGAGAGGCGGTTTCCAGCCCCGGGACATTAGGAAGCAGTTCCTTACTTAGCAGGTCCACATGCCCAGGCTCCAGACTTGCAGCGGGTTCACAAGCGCATCCAAGATATAGTGGGAGTGCTGCGTGACTTCGGGACACAGCGGGAGGAAGGTCGGTCTCGATCTGAGTATCTGCAGCGGCTTCGGAAGGATCTGGCCACTTACTACTCCTACGGAGACTTCCTCCTTGGCAAGCTTATGGACCTCTTCCCTCTATCCGAGGTGCTGAGGGCCAGTCTGACGCCCTTCCTGCTGTGCTTTCCTCACCTTCTCTCCCTGTGTGAGGGAGGCGGTTGGCCCCTTTGCTCCCTGATTTTCTGGCTGAGCTCCTAGGCTGGCCTGACCTTTTCCCTGCCGTCCTCTGTCCCAGCTGGTGGAGTTCTTGGAAGCCAATGAGGTGCCTCGGCCTATCACCCTCAGGACCAATACCTTGAAGACCCGACGCCGGGACCTGGCTCAGGTGAGGGGTGGGCTTTGAGGTTTGCTTGTCTCGGGGAGGCCCTGACTTCTGCGAGCCCCCGAGATTTCCTTATCCCGCTCTGTGACTGGGTGGGGTTTCAGTACCTGAGCATTTCTTGGTACAGGCATGATTCCAGGAGGCAAACCTAGACAGGCCCAGTGTCATGCTGGGTTTGGTGGGCTGGCTTAGGGCCGAAGACCTCTATGGAGTGGGAAACTGGTCTGTTCTGCCTCTGCTCCCTGTGACAGGGCTGGGATGTCTGTGTCACCATAAAAATGCTGCCATAGAAGTGGGGAGGCTATAGCTTAGTGGTAAAGTGTGTGCTTAGCATGCACAGGGTCCTGGGTTCAATTTCCAGTACTTCCGTTAAGTAGATAGATAGATAGATAATAGATAGATAGACAAGAAAATAAATAAATCAATAACCAAATAAACAACCTTCTCTCCAAAACAAACAAATGAGTGCTGCCGCAGAAAGAAGTGGGAGGGAGCTGTCTTCCTTGTCGATCATTGAGAAGCTGCTGAAACTGATTCCTGCCCTCAGGAATAGAAACGGTGCACAGGCAATATTTTAAGCTCATCATTTCCAAGGGTTCAGGGACCCCAGGTTGAACATTCTAGTTTCAGAGTCAGTGGTGTGGCACTATGTGTGTATATCTCATGGCTTGAAGATAACCTGAAAATTAAAGTGCTGTAACTGATAATTCTAAATTTTAGTGTGGTAAGGGGGCTAAGCCTCTTGGAAAATCAGAGTCTACTTTCAGGAAATAAAAGAATAGGATCTGGCAGTTGCTGCATTGGGAGGAAGTTCAGACCTAGAGTTAGAACTTGAGGCTAAGGAGAAGGACACTGTGGATGCAATGGGAGAAACTGCTCCATGAGCCTGCAATGATTGTGTCCTGACTAAGCTTTAGGGGGTTATGGTGCCACAGACCTCCTGACAGGACCAGGTTTTCCTGCTCCATCTGCTTTCTGGGTAGAGTAGCCTACGAGGTTTTAAAAACCTTCATCCCTCTTATCTTCAGGCTCTAATCAATCGTGGGGTTAACCTGGATCCCCTGGGCAAGTGGTCAAAGACTGGACTTGTGGTCTATGATTCTTCAGTGCCCATTGGTAAGTGTTCCCTGCCTGGTGGCCCTTCTCCCCCTGCCCTTGTCCCGGCATGTCACAAGCGGGTCCTCCTCCACAGGTGCTACTCCTGAGTACCTGGCTGGGCACTACATGCTGCAGGGAGCCTCCAGCATGTTGCCTGTCATGGCCTTGGCACCCCAGGAACATGAGCGGATCCTGGACATGTGCTGTGCGCCTGGAGGAAAGACCAGCTACATAGGTATGGAGGGGCCGGCAGGGCTAGGGTTCACCTGGCTCTCTGCTTATGAAAGTAGGTGGGCTCGGTGAGTCGCCAGCGCTCAGGGAACAGTGTGCAGGCGTTCAGCAGGATCGGGGGGGCGGGCACAGGCTCTGGAGTCGGCCTGGATTCCAGCCCCATGCGTGCCTCTCACTGCCCACGTGGCTTTGGCCAAGCCCCTGGTCGCAGTCATCCGTGGCAAGGTGTCCTCTTGCTTGAGTGGGCTATTATGTATACTTGGGCTGTGAGTATGTATATTATGTATACTGAGGGTTGAGATGTGCATGTTGAAGTCCTTGACAATGTTCAGCATGTAGTTAGACGTAACATTTTATTAACTTGTTAACACTTGTAAGAAGTAACTTGGTCTCTAGGATCAGAAGGGCTTTCAGTAATAGTGGAAAAACCACCCTGGGAGGCGTGCTCACTACAGGGTAGGCAGTGGGGAATGCGGCTCATTGTGTGTGGAGTCTGCCTGGAAGGGATGAGACTTCACTGGCAGATTCCTGGGCTGGAGGGTGGCCAGCAGGTGTGGAGGCTGGGGAGCTGCTGGTGAGCACTGTGCCCTCCTTCAGCCCAGCTGATGAAGAACACAGGTGTGATCCTTGCCAACGATGCCAATGCTGAGCGGCTTAAGAGTGTCGTGGGCAACCTGCACCGGCTGGGAGTCACCAACACCATCATCAGCCACTACGATGGGCGCCAGTTCCCCAAGGTGGGGCCCCCCTGGCGCGTCTCTCCTGAGCCATCTTCCAGGTCCCCTCCCCTCTTCTGGCGTCAGCGTTGAGACTTGCCCCTGGGAAATAAATGGTGTGGTTCAGGTGTCAAAAACATCTGACTGATCTGCCCTTTTGCCCAGGTGGTAGGGGGCTTCGACCGAGTCCTGCTGGATGCTCCCTGCAGTGGCACTGGGGTTATCTCCAAGGACCCGGCTGTGAAAACTAACAAGGTAGAGTTGGGACCAACCGAGATGTCTTTTGGGGGGACCTTGTGGAGCCAGAGTGGAAGGTGGAGTCGCCCTCTGAGCAGTCAGTGGCTCCTTTCTCCCGAGGCTGCCTTTGAAATTCAACACCGTGCATCTCTCCGTCTTGGGACAGGATGAGAAGGACATCCTGCGCTGTGCTCACCTGCAGAAGGAGCTGCTTCTGAGTGCTATCGACTCCGTCAGCGCCACCTCCAGGACGGGAGGCTACCTGGTCTACTGCACCTGCTCCGTCATGGTGAGGCCTGTCGCGGGGTGAGGGGCAGGGCTGGGGGCTGTTGTCGTCCCTCGGTGCCCCCTTCAGCTCCAGCTCTGCTTTCCTTCTCTGTCTCCCCGCCTGGCAGGTGGAAGAGAATGAGTGGGTGGTAGACTATGCCCTGAAAAAGAGGAATGTGCGGCTGGTGCCCACTGGCCTAGACTTTGGCCAGGAGGGCTTCACCCGGTTCCGGGAAAGGCGCTTCCACCCTACTCTGCGCTCTACCCGCCGCTTCTACCCCCACACCCACAACATGGATGGTTTTTTTATTGCCAAGTTCAAGAAATTCTCCAATTCTATCCCCCAGCCCCAAACAGGTAAGCGCTCTGCACTTTGTACCTTTTGCTCTTTGTTTCTCTGAAGATGCTTTTGTAAAGTGTGCTGCAGGGAAGAGCCAAGTCTCTTGCCTTCCTCTTCCAGCCTTTGCATGGTAGGGTGAGAGGCCCCTTTTATCCCAACTAGAGTGGTTCCCGAGCCTGGACCCTGTTTGGGTGTGTTACAGCATTTATGTGAGTGAGGCCTTTTCCTTGATTCTGCCAAGTGGCTGCAGTTGCTGGGCATTAAATGCATTCCCCTCGTGGGTGTGGTTTCTTTTCTTGGCTGAAGGTTGCCTTCCTGGTAGTAGACCTCTGCTGGGCCAAGCCTTGTCAGCACTGGCTTGGCACAGGACTCCTCAGAACCCGCAGCGCTTCTCTGAGCCCATCACACTAGCTGCAGCTTGTTCTCTCAGCCATCTTGAGGAGTCTGGCCTGGATCTCAAGGGGAAGGGTGGGGCTTTCTGAAACGGCCAGAAAGCTCTGCATGCTGGGATGTCACCCCGGGTTTAGTTGAAAGAGGGAGAGGCAGGCTTCTCTGGATACAAACTGTGTGACTTACTGAGTTGACTTTGTTTTTCTTTATGAACTGCCTCTTGAGAAAAGTCACATCTCAATGTTTACGGAGTAAACACCTCTAAGAAATGTCAAGATTTCCTGTAATTTTTGTTTTCTGCTGTAACTGTAAAAGTACATATTTAATATATGTCAGTCTTATTTTCCTGCATCTCATCAAAATCTGCATGGAAAAAAATTGTTTTCTTAAAAGAAAAGCCTAGTGCTTCAGGTTTATTTGGGATTCACCTCCTTAGAGTGTCTTGTAACCTGCTATCCTCAAGGGGGCATAACTTCCTCTAAAAATCTTTTGGCTCAAGGATGGGTAGTGATCCCTTCTCTTTAATACGAAATTCAAAAATGACTTGAGTAAAGGCCAGGTGCTACTGAGTAATATGAACCCAGGGAGCCTACTCTTAGGCAGATTGTGTGGACCACTTGGCCAGGAGCTAGCACCAGGCAGTTTTCTTGTTTTAATACCTCTGCTTACTTTCTCCACTAATGATCAAGACCCAGTGGTGAGGCCCACTTTCTCAAACTGTTTAATTTTAACCCCAGGAAATTCTGCAACATCTACTCTTGCAAACATAGACTTGTCCAACCCAAAAGGGCAGGTGACCCCCAAGTCTGAGAGCAGCAGTCAGTCTGCCAAGAAGGCCAGAGTGGCTGTGGAAGCAAAGCAGCGGCCACAGAAACGGCAACATCCCAAGAAGGCTTCCTTCCGGAAGCAGAATGGCATCTCCAAAGGGACAGACTCAGAATTGTCCACCGTGTCTTCTGTCACAAAAGCCCAGCCTTCCTCCAAGAGCCAGGACAGCAGTCAGCTGGCTGAAAAAGCTGCAGTGGCTGGGAAACTAAAGCAACAGTCTCCCAAACTGCCGTCCTCCAAGAAAGTTGCCTTCCGGAAGCAGCACGCTCCCCGCAAGGGCCCAGACACAGAAACGCCTGCAGTGCAGCCCCTCTCTAAGGCCCAGGCTGCTCTCAAGCCTGAGGACGGTGACCGGCCCTGTGGGAACACTGCAGGGGCTGAGAAGGTAAAGCAGTTGCCGGAGCAGCCTGTCAAGAAGGCTGCCTTCCAGAAACAGAATGGCACCCCCAAGGAACCTAAGACTCCCACCCTGTCCCCTTGCAGTTCCAGCTGGCGCCCACCCGCAAAGAGGAGAAAATCTTAGTCCAGAGGCAGCGGCCAGCCACTGCTGTCTTCGGTGAATGGTTGAACTAGACTGGGGTGGCTTATTGTCGTTTTTACTGGGTCAGAACTCTTACCTCTGTGAGGATGGCTTCCCCACTGTGGATATGAAATTTAATACAAATTTTATGATCTCTGGCCTCTGTGTGTGTTTCGAGACGACTGGGTACTAGCTTTGCTGCTTTATGGGTAGAGGTGGGAGGGTGGGACCCGGCCCCTCTGAAGAGAGGGGACAGCGTGGTATATTGACAAATCACGTAAGTTCTAGGCCCCTGGGGAGGGGTCCTTTGGTCTCCCCAGGGACCCAGGGAAGGAGCCTCATGGAGTCAGGGCCTGGGTGTTTGGACTTTGGAGAAAGGAGGGCAATAGGGGTGTATGTAGGGAAGATGGGTTTCGTGCCACCAGAACCATGGAATACTGGAAGACCTGGGTTTTATACCCCTCTGCCACCCTGGCTGGATTACAGACACGAGCCAGGGTTAGGTTAGCTCGGGGCTCAGCCTCAGACCCGGAAAGTTCGGTCCAGGTGCCAGCCTCCAGCCCAGCGGTTCATTGGCTTCCTCCGTGCCCTCCCCCGCCCCGCTGACCTCTGCCCCTTCCGCTGAGCCGTCTGATTGGCTGCTCCGCGTCCCCCTGGCGCCTCATTGGCTCCTCTCCTTCGCCCTCCATCCCTGCTCTCGCACGGGTCTCCATCTCCCGGCAGACGGCGCAGCCATGAATCCGTTATTCGGCCCGAACCTCTTCCTCCTCCAGCAGGAGCAGCAGGGCCTGGCCGGGCCGCTGGGGGACC